TATTAATATTGTTAAAGCCTACCAAGTGAGACCAACATTCATCTATCATGTAGAGACCAACATTCATCTATCATGTAAACAAACATATACAGAATCTGATTTTGAAATCTGCTACAGCAAAACAAGTATCTACGGAGTCAGAAATAGAAATAAGTATTAAAGACTGTCACATTCAATGGAAAAGAATGGTTTTAATATGAACTTTGGAAGAGCCAATTACTAATAAGGAAGGCAATTAAAAAATTTTTTATCACTAATGATTAGCAACAGGATGCATAAACGAGTTTTTTAATTAGATTCAAATCATGAAGTTACTTTTGATGTCTTATATGACCTCTACATATAAAAAGAACTATCAGAGGAAACATTAAAAATATTGTATAAATTTAAATGTGAAACTAAATTCAAATTTACTTAAAAACTGATTATATGAAGTAAAATGTTTTTAGAAAAACATTTGGCAAGGATAATCAACTCCAAATGTACTTATTTACACACTTCAAAACAACTAGAAAATTACCCTAATTGCTACAGCCTATACAGGCACTAGCATTAGAAGCATCTGCCAAAAGACCCTCCCCAAAATAAACTTAACTGCATGTGGTAGGAGTAACTCATGTCACTCTCAATTATTATGACTGAAGATGAACTTGCCAAAATTAAAATTGGAGTAAAGTTATCAAAATTTAGAGTAAATTTATCAAAAAATAAGCCATAAAAACTGCATGACCAATTAAAGTATCACATATATTATCATATGATATAACTATGACACCAAAATATTTTTTGTAACTTTAGTATAATATTACCCCTTAATCACTATTACTACTATTATGCTTGATAGTAGACTTTTTAAAGAAAAATGTGTTGGGGCTGGGGATTTAGCTCAGTGGCATAAGCACCTGCCTTGCAAGCAGGCGGTTGTGAGTTCGATCCCCAGTACCAGAAAAAAACAAAAAGAAAAAAAAAAAGAAAATGTGTTATATTTTATAACTTTCAATGGCACTTTTTCTTGCTTTTTGAACAAGAGGTCCATATATTTTAACTTGCACTAGGTCCTGTGAATTATGTAGCCAGTCTTGCCTGGAAAACAAAGATAGTAGCTAAGAAGAACTTTAGGGCTGGATTATGAGGCAGGGCCAAAAACTATGCTGTTTTCAGCATAAATGTGTGCAAAAACTGGCCAGTAATCCCAGTACTTAAGAAGGCTGAGGCAAGAGGATTGCTGTGAATTTGAGGCCAGCCTGGGCTACATAGTGAGACTCAGTCTCAGAAAACCAAAATTAAATAAACAAATTTAAGAAAAAAAAATAAACGAGTGCAGCCACACATGGCCTTCTGAACCAAAACCTTCACAGGTAAATCAAAGGATCTGTAGTTTTAGCAATCCCCACTGATTACACAACCAAATTTTGAAAGCCTGCTCTAAAATATTCTGTCACATTACTGCAAATTTAATTTTTCCACAATAACAATTGAATAGAAAGGAAATCCCTATCTCTTCTCCAGAATAATTTATTGGTTTCCTATTAGTTCTTTCTCACTTAAAAGGCATTTTTGCTTTTATTTGTTGATGAAATAATGTTTAGCTAGCGATGACTAAACATATCTGTGGAAATAAAAGTTATAACACAAGTTTTCATTTTCTTCCAGATAAAATGAATTGAGTGTGGGGACCCATGCTTATAATCCCAGCACTCTGGGAGGTTGAGGTAAGAGGATCACAAATTTGAGCCCCTTCTAGATAATTTAGTGACTTAGCAAAATCCTACTACAAAATAAAAAATACAGAAAGGCTAAGAATATAGCTGAATCTGAAGGCCCTGAAAAAAAAAAAAGATAATTATTGACCTCGATTTGAACATTACACAATATCTACATTATCAAAATATTATATGCTATCCCATAAACATCTACAATGTTTGTATCCATTTAAAATTCCTAATATTGGGGCCAGGCTGATGGAACAGGCCTATAATCCCAGTGCTCAGGAGACTGAGGATCACTACGAGTTCAAGGTCTCAGTAGGCTACATGTAAAGTTCAAGGACAACAACATAAGAAGACACCCTGCCACAAAACCAAACAAACAAAAAAAATCCTTAATTTTAAAAAGTAAAATATTTTACGTAAAATAGTTATAGGCCACTCAAGAAAACAGCCAGAAGCTATAGCTGTAACTCAGTGGCAGACTTGCATAGCTTGGCTGAGGCCCCAGATTCAATCTCTACCACCACAAAAAGCAAGCAGCCAGACTTTTAAAATATATACAACACTCAATTATTTCAAAATGGTGTATACTTATGATTCAATAATAACTTTATACTATAAAAGTTTCAAATTATAAGACAGAGAAATGGAGGATTCTTGCCATTTCCAAACTGTTCTCTAGAAAGGTATTCTGAAGAGTTTAATATGTATTTTCCAACTGTTTTATGCACATACAAATATACGCAGGTGTGTTCTGCAACTTTTCCTGACTTACTTTGAGCTTTGATCTTTCCACATCCATTCAGATATTACCATTGTAAAAAAAAAAAAAAAAAAAAAAAAATCCTACCACACATTATTAGATCTTTTTTTTGACACCAGGTCTCACTATGTAGTCCAGGCTGGTCTCAAACTCAGAACAATTCTTCCGTCTGAGCCTCTGGAGTGCTGGGATTATAGGCGTATGCCACCAGGCCTGGCAGATCTCCCATAGGTCTGAGTCCTTACTCTACCACCTTCCTATATGTTTGAGTTCCTTAGCTATGAAAAAATGAAAACAAAAGTTGTAATATCTGCATCTTACAGAGCTACTGAGTATTAAATAAGGTGATATGTGTAAAACACATGGTACAGTGCCTCAAACATAGTTATCACTCAATAAACTATTATATTGGCTAGATGTGTAGTTCAGGGATAGAGTACTTGTCTAGCACACACAAGGCCCTCGGCACCATAAAATAAAATAAATTTTAACTAGTGTTAATAATAATTTGGAATAGGGGGCTAGGGGTTTAGCTCAGCGGCGTAAGCAAGCAGGCAGTCATGAGTTCGATCCCTGGTACCCATAAAAACAAAAAAGACCAAAAAAAAAAATTGTAAGTTTTTAAAATGAGGAAATAACATAGTAACTTTTTTTTTCTTGGTATGGAGGATTGAACTCATGACCTCTCACTTGCCAAGCAGGTGCTTCTGCCACTGAGCTGTATCTCCAGCCCCAATGCAGTAACTATTACTGTTTTGAATAGTAAATAAGAATTTCAGAAACTAATTTCCTATTTTAATAACTTTTTTCAATATTTTCCCCTGGAAAGAGGAAAAGTATATAAGCAGGTAGCTACACAATATATGAGAGGCAGTGGGGTAGAGTGGAAAGAGAACCAGCTTTCAGCCAGCCAGATGCACTTGAGTCTGAGAATTCAGTCACTTAATAATTATGTATAACCCTAGCCACTTAAACTCACTCAACCTTGGAAGATTTCATAACATAGGTAAATTACATAAAGCATCAAGCCCAATTTCTAGCACTCCTAACAGTACTTATTATCATTTTTCTTACCTATAGTAAAGCCAGCCTTCTCAATTAGAGAAGATAGAATGTACTGCAAATAAATTCTATCAGGCCAACAATTTAAACACTAAAACACTGTTTTCTGGGTCACATACTCCTTTTAGAATCTGATGAAAACAGAGCCTCTATTGCCTAGGAAAATTTTAGGGATTTCAGAAAGCACTATGTGTCAGGGTCCTTGTACTACAGAGAAACCAACTAGTTTTTCCTAGACTTACCACGAAAAAATGTGTAGGTTATCTAGCTACTTAACTTGACTCACAAGGTAACAAGTAAATCCTTCCTGTGTTTTTTTTTTGGGGGGGGGTACCAGGAATCGAACTCAGGACCTTGAGTTTGCCAGGCAAGCGCTGCACCGTTGAGGTAGATTCCCTGCCCAATGGTGCTTTCTTAAACTGGCCTTCTAATGAAGTTAAAACATCTGGTATTGTGAGTGATAATAAAACTTGACAAATGGAACTACAAATTACGCTAGAATTAGTCCAAATATTCTTATATACGACGCTTAACACATAGTCCAACACCGAACAAAAAAAATCTAGAAAAGACGTAAACCTGGTTGCATTCAATTCTTAGAAAGTATCAATTCGTCTCTTGCAAAAAAATAATAATAATAATAATAAATATATATATATATATAAACACGTGTCATAATTCACAAAAACAAAGGTGGAGGCACCAAATATAACTAAACCACTTCAGTTTACTGAGTATAGTTTGTCCTTCTGCGCCTTGCGTGAAAATCTTTAATCCCTTGACTTGCGTTTCTTAAACTCGCTGAGTTCATAACTTCATCGAACCGGTCAGCGGTATAAGAATGAAGCCAGAGTACCGCAGACGCCAGTCTCCAAGAGCGCAACCCCAGGCAGCTGGGTATTGGACTAAGTTCTGCCCCAGTGACCTTGGTCCCAGAGTTTCCTCCCTTTCTCCTGCCGGTCCTTCCACGTGCTGCCGGCTGCTGTAACCCCACAGACGGCATCACGTCAGGCAAGGCGCTAAAGGACAGAACGCTCGAAGGGAGAAAGGGCTGCTAACAGCATCCGGACGGTGCCGTCTCTTCCCTCTCTGCACCAACTCCCCGGCGGCGCGGCAGCCCCCAGAGGTCCCCGACAGGCGCCCTGCGGGCGAACCCCGACCTCCCTCCCCGCGCCCGGCCCTGCCAGCCACGGCGTGCGGTCAAGCCGTGGTACAGGATTCCTCCATTCTACCCACCGCATCCCAACGCCAGGATAGGGCAGAGATCATCCCCAGAAAGGAGGGGACCAAGACAGGAGGCAAGGAGGATGGGGAATCCTGCGCCACGCCACCTCCATCCCCTACTCCACTTCCAGGGCTGCCCGGAGGCCCTTCCCGGGCGCCAGCCCGCGGGCGGCAAGGCCTGAGACGTCAGGGCCGGCCAGAGGCCCTGGAGGCCCCGGGGCTCGGGGACGCGGCGTCCTCACCATCAGAACTTTGGCCGCGTTCTCCAGCTGAGCGATCACTTCAGGGGGCCCCAGCGCCGTCGCCATCATGGTCTCTCTTCAATGACGCGCCATGCGCTGCATTCTGGGAGCGGGCGCCTTGGCCGGCCAATCGCCGCCACCCCGGAGCCTCGCGGGCTCCCGCGGCCACCAGCGCCGCCGGCGGTGTCAACTTTAGCGAGTGTAGCGCAGCAGCTAGGTCCTGGGCGGCCGGAAACAGATGAGCGAGACTCGGACCGCAGCACTGGGGCGAGGGCGGCAGTAGCCCGCGCCAGGCGAAGCCGGGCGGGGTGCCCAGGCGGCTGCTGCCTTCGCGCACCGCGCTCGCTAAGGCGCATGCGCGCGCCCCCCCCCGCCCCCCCGCTGTCAGCTCGCACCCGCTTGCTCCCTCGCGCCGAGACCGGGCCTCTCCCTCCGCGCTTCGCGAGCGCACGGGCCCCTCCTGGCCCTTAAAGGCTCCGGCGCCGTGGAGGATTTCTCAGTCCTTTCGAAATCATCCTGTCGCCGGCCTCCTGCTTCTCTGCTCCTCGCGGGCCGAGGAGCGAACATCCCAGGATAGAAGGCTTGCTTCCCGGACGGCGCGCCTTTCGGACAGCCTTCCCCGCGGCTCCGGCCGGCGCGGGCTGAGCGGCGGGCCCCACCAGAAGAGTCCCCGCCGCGCCCGCCTTGTGCTGGGGAGAGGGAGAGAGCAGGGACGCCGGCCCAAGACCCTAATCGCCCGAGAAGCTCGGTGTGGCACCAGCTTCGTCACGTGTAAGGAGCTTGCAGCAGCAGTGCTAACTGGGGATCTGATGAAAAGGGCATGAAGTGTGCCCGTAATCCAGCCTTTCCGCCGAGCTTCGATCTTTTTTCACAGCCTTCCACGCTGCCGGCATCCGCTATTTTCATATTCAAACCAGGCTGAATTGTCGGAAAGGGTTTTTGAATCGACCTCGCTTTCTGTAACATCTACCTTTCCATACCTGTTCTGGCTTCTCAAACTGCAGAGCCAAATTCATTTCAGCATTTGTAAGTTTCTTCTGTTGACATTTCTTTTTCTTATTTATACGTAAACCATTCTGTTGAGTTTTTATTTTTTGTCACTGCTACAGAACTGCATGATTTAACTGCACTGAAAAACCTGTTATTTCTTGTATTTGATCTTTACAAGTTTAAGTTCAGGAAGTAAATTGATTAGATTTTTGTTGCTTGAGAAACTGAGGAAATGTCTCAATTTGATTACAGTCAAGTGACCCAAAATGCAGTTACTGGTCCTTTTTCTTTAAGAATTGTGTGACCCTGCTGGGCTTGGTGGCACATGAGTGTAATCTCAGCGCTCCAGGGCTGAGGCAGGAGTTCGAGGCCAGTCTGAACTGCACAGCAAGACCTTGTCTCAAAAGACAAAAAAAAAAAAAATTGTGTGAACCTAAACTGTTAGCATAGTGCCTAACACATAATGATCGCTCTAAATTTTCAACAGAGTATGGCAGTGTGCAAAGATTACAAAGTAACTCTAGCTCTAAAGTATTATTAACCAAAGATCAATTATATAACTACAAATAATAATAAGTAGTTGGTGACAGTAAGTGTTTGAGGCTTAATGTTCATATTCACCCTTTGATTCCAAGGCATTTGTTTTACATAATTACAAACAGCATTGGTTTTTTGGTTTTTAATTTAGGGTCACACTGCAATTCAGGCTGGCATTTAACTGAAGATCTTCCTGTCTTGTCCTCCAAAATGCTGAGATTACAAGTGTATAACAGCATGCATAGTAGAGACAGGCTATTAAGAAACAGAAAAAAAGAGAACTGTTTGCCTACTATGGGCAAGGCCGTGGGGTCCACCTCCAGCACTGCAAAAAAAATAGAGACAGGAAAAAGAAATACTTCCTTTCAAATTAACATAACTTTGGGGGGGGTCTAGAAAAAAAAACAAAAAAAACAAAAACAAAAAAACCATAACTTTGAATTTTGACACTTTATAAAGTGGGTTACATACATCTCACATACAGGGGAGCCAAGAATTTCAGGCAAAATTAAAGTTGTAGTATCTTAATGTTGGAAAGCACTTTCAAATTTACCTACTGGTTAACTCTTTTCCGTGCCTAATTCATTATTCCTTGACTTATTTTTTGGTCATAACACTTGGGGTAGGAGGATAGTATTCCAGCCGCACCACAAGATTTTCATATCCTAAAATAGAAGAGGAAAATAAAGTTCAAAACCGGGTATAGGGATGCATGCCTCTAATCCCAGCACTTGGGAGACTGAAGCCGTAAAATCACTGCAAATTGAAAGCCAACCTGAATTGCATAGTGAAACCCTGTCCCAAAAAGACAAAAAAGAATTAATAAAGTTGATCAAATAATTTGTCACAAGGCCTGAGCAAAGTGTATGTAGCCTGAAAAAGGATAGGTGCCTGGTTGAAATCAAAAACATTTCACTAGAGCTGGGCAGGGTGACTCATGCCTATAATCCCAGCACTCCGGAGGCTGAGGCAGAAGAATCCTTGCAAGTGCAAGACCAGCCTGGGCTACAAAGTGAGCTCAAGGCCAGCCTGAACTGCGTATCGAGACCCTGTCTCAAAAAGACAGAAAAAAAAATTTTTTTTTCACGAATGCATCCACATTTCAGAGTATCCTTTTCCACTTATGGTGCCACAAGCTCCAAAATCATTCCTACTTATTCTTCAGCAAAAGTGATTGATTGAACGTATTATAAACTTTCCCATGGGAAAGGATCATTTAGTTTTTAAATGGAAGTCAATGGAATTGGCTTTCATACCCAACTTTATTTTGTGCCTTTTCTAAGTCGGTCTCTCCCTGGGAACATTTGTTAAACAAAAATATAACTGCTACTAATATTCTGGTGCAAAGAAAAAGCAACTGTTGTGTATAACAGATAATAATAATACTTTACTTTAAAACTAGAAGAGATTGTAGAAATTATGGATTTTAAGATTTTGACACTGAAATATTTTAAGGATTCTGTGATTTTCAGATTTAGAAAATAAAACTCAGACTGGGTGTCATAGTACATGCCTATAATCCCAGCACTCAGGAGGCTGAGATAGGAGGATTGCTGAGTTTGAGCCCAGCCTGAGCTACCTTTTAAATTCAAATCCAGTTTGAACTACAGAATGAGACCCTGTCTCAAAAAATTTGCCAGGCATGCTGGTGCACACTAATCCTAGCATTTAAGAGGCTGAGGCAGGAAGATTGCTGCAAATTCAAGGCCAACGTAGGCTACAAAGTGAGCTCAAGGCCAGCCTGAACTGCACAGTGAAACTCAAAAAAAGAAAAAAAAAATTTAAAACAAAACAAAAAATCTTACATTGGGCATGATGGCAGAGGCTGAGGCAGGAGGATCATCATGAGTTTAAGACCAGCTGGAACTATATAGCAAGAATCTCATCTCAAAAACAATAACCACAAAACCTTAGGACGTGTCCTAGAGTCAAGTATGTTCATGTTGGAATTCAAATCAGAGGAATTGGATTTGCATTTTATCTCTGCTTCTTAAGAGTTATGTTTACTGAATAAGCAGCTTGACATCTCAGGACCTTACTTTGATCATGTGTAAAGTGGAGATCTTTACAAGTGCGTGAAATTCAAAGTAGAGACTGTGTTTGAAACAACTTTATAAAATCATGAACTCTAATGTGAATGTAAAGTTTTACTATTACAGCATAGCAGTCACGTACCTGTTTTTTACGGTGCATGACACTTTGTAAATCATTGAACTTGATGTCATTTTCTATTCTCACAGAGTTTGGGGTCTAGTTGAAAAGATAAGACGGACATATTTAAAATAATAGCAGTTGGCCAGACATGGTGGTGCATTGCCTTTAATTCCAACATGTGGGAAGCTGAGACAGGAGGCTCTCAGGGAGTTAGAGGCCAGCCTAGGTCACATAGTGAGTTCAGACCAGCTTGAACTACACAGTGAGAATCTATCCCAAAAAAACCAAAAAAATCAGTCATTCAACCCTAAGGAACATCATCCTAAGTCATCTCACTTTTTCCATTTGTGCTATAAAAAATGTGCTTAGAGCCTGGTGTGGTGATTCATGCCTGTAATCCTAGCACTCTTGAGAGACTAAAGAAGGACCGAATGTTTGAGGCCGGCCTGGGTAACTGTCTCAACAGGGAAAAAAAAAAGTTGGGGATGTAGCTTAGTACTACAAAAAATTAATTCAAATGTTTGGTATTTGTCCTTGATTTCTGGCACAGAGCACCTAAAGCCCTTAGAATTTCCTAGAGTAATGGGATTACTTTTTATTAGTCATGACAAGCCCCCTTTAATCACAATTTGAGCTAAAAGGTGACTTAGGATGGAGTCCCTAGATTTCCTCAGGACAGGCAGGTCACCAGGCACATGGACTTGTGTCAGACTCATTAGTCTCAGAGAACAAGCAAGGGTGCTGAACATTAGTCTTAGTCAGCGAGGTCCACCTAGGTGAGTACTGTCACCACATCCAGGGACACCTTCCAACTTAGGACAGAGACGCCTATGTACTGCCTCATCCAGCTACTCATTCATATTTTGGATAATAAAGTGGTAAATATAAGAAAGTGTTCTGAGCTCTGCAGTCATTCCAATAAATGATCAGAGCTGAATGGGGATTCTCAGATCTGTGGTAGATCCCAGGATTGATGACTGAGCCCTTGACTGGTGAGGTATGCAGTACCTATAAATAGTGTGGTGGCTGAATTGAATTGTCACATACCCAGTTGATGTTGAAAAATCACAAATCAACATATGGGTTATTCTTATAATTCTTATGGATTATAAGACTTATATTAATACTCCAATGTGAGACAAAGACTATAAATTCATATTTCCATCACAATTAGCACGTGAAGGCACTAAGCTCTTTTCATTTATCATCTCATTTAAACCTCACAACAACTGTTATTTACCCCAAATGACAGATGAAGAAATCGAGGTATATGGCAGTTAGATTACATGTCTCACAAATAATAATATGGAACTAAGCACGGTGGCACACACCTATAGCCCATTCAGTGTGGGAAGTGGGGGCAGGAGGAACATTCGAGCTCAGCTGGACAATTTAATGATTCGGAGAGATCCTGTGTTAAAATAAAATTTAAAGGCGAGGAGGAGTTGTGTTCAATCCCCAATATGGAAGAAGTAAAGAAAGAAGGGGAAGGAGGAAAGGAGAGAAAAATAAAGTGGAACTGGGATTTGAAATCACAGTGTCTTTTCCAATTCTAATGAAATAAAACTAGAAATTAACAGTAGAAGGTAAACTGGAAAACCCACATGCATGGATATTAACACACTTCAGAAACCAAAAAGTCAAAGAAAAAATTCACAGGAGAAACTAGAAACTATTTGGAGATAAATGAAGAACACAGTTACCAGAATGTGGTAAAAGCTGAAAGGAAACTATGGTGGATCCTACAGATTCCAAGCTCCTATGTGCAGCAAGAATTACAAACTGTACTAACATAGTGGGGGGAAAGCAACTGTTTACCGACAGTCACACACAGAAATGGTTCTGGGATAACAAGAGGAACTCTGCATGCCAAGGCAGCAAATCAGGCTGTGAGCGGGAGAGGGAAAAGGGCATCGCCTGCTTTGGCCTGGGGTTAGATGAACTCCTGGAAGCTCAAGTGAGGGAAGGGGAGAGATTAGGGAGGAATGGCTCGAAGATGCCACCCTTGTTTGAGGGGTAGAATGGAATGAATTCCTTAGCCCCAGGATTCTATCTGAACAATAACTATAAGCACATTGAAAAGAAGAAAAATCTCAAGTTGGCAACGTAACTTTACACTTTAAATAATTAGAACCACACCTAATGCTAAAAGAACAAAAAAAGTATAGATTAAATAGATAACAGAAGAAGAATCAATGAAACCAACAAAATTGATAAACAGATTAAGAGAGAACCTAACTAAAATCAGAAACTGACAAAAGAAACATTGTCACTTATTTTAGATAAATAAATATTAGAAAATCCTAAATGGGGCTGGTGGTACACATCTGTCTCAGCACCCAGGAAGCTGAAGCAGAAAGATCACTGCACAATTCAGGTCATTCTGGGCTACATATCGAGACCTTGTCTAGATTTAAAAAAAAAAAAAATTGTGTCCCAACAAATTATATCACGTAGATGAGTGACACTGAACTTTTTTTTTTTTTTTTTCTGTATTTTTGAGATAAGGTCTCTCTATGCAGTTCAGGCTGCCCTTGAGCTCGCTTTGTAGCCTAGGCTGGTCTCAAACTCAAAATGATCTTTCCGCCTCAGCCTCCGAATTGCTGGGATTACGGGCGTGAGCTACCACACCCGGCTCAACACTGAACTTTTTAGAGCTTTCAGTAATACCAGCAGCCGCTGCAGCACAAGTGCCATAGGTTCACCACCACTGACGATAAAATAGAGAATTTCCCAAAACACCCAACCTATCAAAACTAAACCACAGGAAACTGCAAGTCTAATAAGCCTGTATCTAGTAACTCCTGCCTAGTTAGATCAGTAATCAGAATACTCCTAATGATCCTCAGCAACAACAAACCTAAGGAAGAAAAGCCCTGGGCAAGATACTGTCACTGCTAAATTCAGATCATATTGTAATTAGTACCACCTGGCCCAGTGGGCATTGATAGGTAGCAGACACAGATGAGTGATCAAAACATCTGGACCTGTGCTCCCCGCCTTTTCTAAGAATACGTTTGTTATTTCCATTCACCCTTGCTACATGACTCCCATCCCTATTAGATCACTAAGCAACTAGTAATCCTATAGGTTGACTGTAGACTGACTTATATTGTACTGACATTGTGATTTGCTGTCTAAATTACCCCTGACAGTTTCAGTGGCCTCCCACTTGGACCCCCCTGGGAAATCCAGTTTTTCTCATTTCCAATAAAGCTCTTCTGACTTTCTCTTTTGGTTTGTGACTTCCTTTGGTTTCCTTGATGATGTGAGACCACAAATCTAGTGCATTTGTGTAACAGGTTGGGAAGTTACATTTTTTCCATTTCACTAGTAGCAGCACTCTGGGATCAACCTTTTAAAACATTGACTTTTGGGGGGATATCACCCCATATTCAGACCCTAGCAATGCTGAATCATCTTTGTGTTGCAAGAATCAATCCGACTTGGTCATGCTATACTTTTTTTTAATGTACTCTTAAATTTTGTTACTATTTCGCAGAGAATACTTTCCTCAGTATTTCTCAAAATATTGGTTTATTTTTCTTGCATTATCTTTGGTTTTTATATCAGGATACTCCTAGCCTCATAGAAGGAGTTTGGACTTATTTTTACCTCAAATTTCTCAAAAAAGGATTAATATTAATTATTCTTTGTTTGATAGAATTTACCAGTGAAGTTATCTTGTCCTGGGCTTTTCTCTGTTAGATTTGTTGTTATTATTGAGGATCATTAGGAATATTTTGATTACTGATCCAGAGAGAAAAGGGATTACAAGTTAGAGATTTTCTTGTGATTTAGCACTATGAAAGCATGAAGCAGGAGGATCGTAAGTCTGAGCCCCACTTAGGCAATTTAGTGATTTAGTGAGACGCTGCCTCAAAACAAAAAAATAAAAAGGCTCGGGACATAGCTCAGTGCAAAGGCCTTAGATTTTAAGTCCCACTACCAAAAAAAAAAAAAAATAATAATAATAATAATAAAAATAAAAATTCAGTAGAATAAAAAGTTAGCTAGTAGAATGGTAGAAAATATTTGCAGTGATATATCTGATTAGGGATTAATAGTTACAAAATATAAAGAACTCTTAGAACTGAACAACAAAAGTAATTTGTTTTTAAAAGAACACAAACAGCTGAAGGTATAGCTCAGTGTTTGCCTAGCATACCTCAAGCTCCAGTTTGAGGCCCCAAGCTGAAAGGAGAAAAGAAAAAAGCCCTTTCCTAGATGTCTCTTTTAACAGGATGTAAAAATGGTCAACAAGCCCATGAAAAGTCCAGCATCTGCAATCATTAAGGAAATGTAAATCAAAACCACAACCATGTGAGACATCATCTCAGACCCAGGCAGTGGTTACCATGAGAAAAACAGTGACAGTTATCAATGAGTATGTGGAGAAAGTGGATTTTTTGTGTACTGTTGGTGTGACTGTAAAATGACAGCTGCTAACAAGCGGTTCCTCAAAAAACATAAACACAGAATGACCATATGACCCAGTAACCTGCGCCTGGGTATAAAACCCCAAAAGATGCAAGCCGTGTTCATAGCAGCCGAGAGTACAGAAGATGGAAACAACCACAAGTGTCCTGTGAGGAATGAATAGGTGAAATACAGTGTAAGCACACGTACACACGTACACAATGGCTACTGTTCGGTCTAAAAGGAAAAGAAATTCTGACATGCTACTGTACGGGCGAAACTTCAGAACATTATACCAAGCAAAGCCAGATTTAAAAAGACAAATATGGTATTGTTCTACTTAATATGGGCCTGTAGATGAATCAAATTTTTTTTTTTTTTTTTTTTTTGTCTTTTTCATTTTTATCGGTACCAGGGATCGAACTCACGACCGCCTGCTTGCAAGGCAGGTGCTTATGCCGCTGAGCTAAATCCCCAGCCCCTGAATCAAATTTATTGAAATAGAAAGTAAAATGGTAGCTCTCAGGGCTAGGACAAAGGGAAAGAGGAAGTTCTTCAAAAGACCCAGGATGGTGGGATGAAAACTGTACTTAACTAAGTTTAACACTGCCAGACTTTAATTATACTTAACACTACCAAATCATGTACTTAAAAATGGTTTAGGTGGTAAACATGTTCTTCATCATAATTAAAAACAAAGAACGGTATAAGCATCTGTTTCATGAAATTTGGCTACTTAGCTTAAATATAGAAAATACACTTTCACAGTTTAACTAATTATTGTTCACCTTTCACTCCCTCTCAAGTGAACAGTGGAATTTTCTACCAAATATGTGATGCCACAAAAGACTGAATGCAGAGAATTGTGTGAAAATCCAGGGATCTTCTGTAAATATAGACAGTTAAGAAAGTTGTAAAAACATAAACTAGCTCCAGTTCGCTCACAAAATATTTTCCTTTAATAAGTGATTTTTTCATGAAAATATGTTGGTTTGTAATGGGTTTATTACTTTAAATAAATAATTTCTCATTTAAATGTTTGAATATAATCAATATACCTCACATATTTAAATGTCTTTTCGGTCATCAGTAAGGTTTGGGTTTTTATTTTCCTTTTAATTGGTTTAACACTTTATTTCTTTAATGATTTTTTTTTTTTTTTGTATTGGGGATCAAACTCAATACCTTGCACTTACCAGGCAAGCACTTGAGCCACTGAGCTAAATCCCCAGCTCAATAAAAATATTTTTTAATAAAAATATATTTCCGAATACTTAGAGACCATAACTAATTCATTAATTTTTTATTTGTTTGGTATTTGGAATTGAACTTAGGACCTCATGCTTGCCAGGCAGGCACTGTCTAATTCGTTAATATTAGAATTAAATATGATATACACAGTTAGCAATTAAAATACATTTTCAAATAATTAAAACAGCCAGCCATGGTGGTGCATGACTATAATCCCAGCATTTGGGAGGCTAAAGGAGAAGGATCGCCACAAGCTTGAGGCCAGCCTAGGCTGCACAGTGAGCTCAAGGCCAGCTTGAATTACATGATGAGACCTTGTCTAAAAAAAGAGAAAAAACTTAAACAAAAGAAATTCATATAGTCTAACATGTGCTCCTAAAAAATAAAATAGTAAAAACAAAAAACAGGCCTGGGATGTAGTTCAGCGGCATAGGCAGCTGCCTGGCAAGCACCAGGTCCTGAGTTCAATTCCCAGTACCAAAAAAGAAGCAAAAAATAAAACAGTACCAGGAACTGAAGGCTAAGAGTGTTCTCAAGAACAAGAGAAGGTGGGCAGGGCGGCTCTGGGCTAGGTTTCGCCTTGTCATCATGCACAGCGGTTGTGATCCTGTGTGTCCCTGCAGTGTGAACATCACTGTGACAGACGTCATTGGCTGGTCCCAGTCAGCTTCACTGTGTCACAGCAACAGTTCACACGCTACGCCCAGCAGCTTGTCCCAGGTCACTGGAGATGTGACCTGGAAGGCCTCTCTCCCCCAGGTTTCCTCTCTCTGCTTCCTGGCTACCACGACATAAGCAGCTGTGCTCTGCTGTGCCTTCTGCCGCAGTGTGTGCTGGTCATGAGGACGCGGGCAGGGTTTCTGCTGTGAGGACCTGTGTTAGTATGCTGTTGTGCCTGGAGATGCCTCTGCTGTGGGCACCGCGCTGTCACCCCATAGCCTGGAGAGATCTCTCTGATGTAAGCACTGGGGAGCCTGAATCTCATATGCTGTTATTAATGGCCACTTTACATATTCACCAAAGTCTACACCAGCTGGGCACTGAGACAGACCAGTCACAGACAGGGGTTTTTGTATAAAAGGGGATTTTTTAGCCTACTGTTAGCAATTTTCTACTTCTTCTTGCTTCCATTCTTTTTAATTTTTTTTCCCTCTTTTTTCTTTGCAGGCCTTCCTAAGAGAGTGGGTTGTGTACTCCAGGGTCTCTGGATATGGCATTCTACACACAGAACAAAGTCCCCTTTCATCATCCTGGATCTGCGGATGGCAAGACTGGCCCTGGCAGCCACAGAAGGGAAAAAGCTGCCTCCTTGTGGAGCTGGGCTCTGGCCGACCACACAATAATACCCTGTATGAGAAGGGGAACATTCTCACTCAGCCGGATGGCTTTCAAGAGAAAGAGTGTAAGGAGTTCCAAACAAAATGTCAGAAAACCACTATTGACAGGCTCAACAGATTGGAATAGTATCCTGGAAATTTCAGTCTAGTAGAAAGGATGCCAAGATTCCATGTGTTTTTTTCTTTTCTTCTTTTCTGTGAGGAATGGTGCAAGGCAGAGACCAGCTGAGACCACCAGGCCTATATAAGGGCAAGATGGTGTGGAATTTATTGAGCTGGGGTGCAGGCAGGCAGAGGGTGAAAAGGCCGTCTGTAGGGAATAAAGAGAAGTGGGCTTTTGTTATAGGACTTGAAAGAAAGCAAGGGACATTAGGTGGGAAGATCTTAGTGAACCTCAGTGGTCAAAATTCTCTGGATGTTTAGGGCCTCGGTGGGCAAAGTCCTTGAGTATCCGATGTGAACGTGTGGGTATCTTCAGATGGCCAGGCATTTGGAAGACTCTGCTCCATCTAATCTCTTACGACATCCTGTGTGTGCCCAGGGCACCAGCGCTGAGCTGAGAACAACGCCTCTGCTGGGAAACAGGTTGGTATCGGGAGAATGAGATCCGGATCCAGCTTCACACTCGCCTTCCTTCCCCGTTTTTCTCCTTCCTTCCCTCCTTCCTTCTCTCCCTTTCCTTCCTCTTTCCCTCCCTTCTCTTCAGTGTTGGTGACCAAACCCAGAAGCGCTCAGCCTCTGAGCTCCATCCCCAGCCCTTTTTATTTTGAGACAGAGTGTGACTGGCTTGCCCAGGCTGGCCTTGAACTTGCACTGTTTCTGCCTCGTCTCCTGAGTAACTGCCATTGTTTGTTCTTCACTAACAGAAACCATGCTCTGCTGTGACCGGTGGATCCCTCTGTCCCACAGAGCAGCCACATGGCCTGAGAGCCTTGATGCCACCCCTGCTCTGGAAAGCATGTGCATTCTGTGTTTCTTCCAGCAAATCCCAAGTGCCCATCTTACCAAGGATGGCCCCAACCAGCTCTTCTCTGGCTCTATTTACTTATTTAAAGTGGAGTCATATTGAATCAGTCATTTTCTTCCTGTAGTCTTAAAAATAATTGTTTCTTCAGAGTTCTAAATTCTAAATTTGAAAGCTAAAAAATAAATAAATAAACTTGAAATAAATAAATAAATAAACAAGTAATTCCTCGATTCATGATTGCTTCTGTTTGCAAACAATTTGGTTCACAGACAAAACTGTCTGGCAAAATTATGCTTCCATTTGCAAACTCTGCATCAGGTGACACAGCCACAGCCATCTTCCCTACACAAACACCCACAGCCATCTCACCCCAAGCTGTAAAAGGAAATAAGTTTGTAAACTGAGGTACCACTGTGCTACATATTTTCTTTTTCTTTCTTTTTTTTTGTCTTTTTTTTTTTTTTTCATTTTTATCGGTACCGGGGATTGAACTCACGACCGCCTGCTTGCAAGGCAGGTGCTTATGCCACTGAGCTAAACCTCCAGCCCCTGTGCTACATATTTTCATTACAAGGGTAATGAACATAAATAAATAAAGACTCTAGAATGTAACTGAATTAAATAATCTTATCTACTTTATGCTGCTATTATAGAAACGTGTTCAATTTATGTAAATGTTCAAGCTTCAACTTCAAATATTCCATATGTGCAAATTAAAGTTCAATACATACACTGAACACATTGCCACCCAATATCTTCGTTGATTTAACATGCAATCAACAAATAAATATAGGTGCCCTGAATAGTTCCAGAGCACAGTAAGCAAGGGTGTTTAGCTCTTTTGTTGTTTCCAGCAGGGAACGCTCTAGATCATAATGCATATTTGACTGAATATGATAGAAATTTGCAAAATATGAATTGTTTGTAAGTGATTGTTTAGGTTCAACAGCACCTTCCTAGAGAATACATATAAAAGGAAATAAGAGAAAATATTGCAGTTACAGATAGTTTGATGAAGGAATAGCTACCTTGCAGTCCTTGGAAACAAGCCAAGGAATTTTGGGGATCAAAAATAGTACAAATCTCACTTGCAAGAGTACATTACTAACCTCTCTGCAACCAAGCAGGCCCAGCCCTCATGCATAGAACTAGTGATGCCACACCAGACCACTGGAGCAAGCGGGGTGCACAGGTGCACCCTGCCCCACGCAGGGGTGAGGTCACCCATTAATCCTTCCTCCGCAGAGGGGCTAACCAATCACCCCGATCCTGGGTAAGCACAACACCCAGCAAGACAGGGAACAAGACCGCATGATCAGCGATGCAAAGTCCAGCAGTCCACTTAAACCGACCCAGGAGCCTCCATCCAGCAGAGACCAGGGGCTGGGTTTCCCATCTCCCCATAGAGCAAATCCACTGACAGTGACTGCAGTTTGGCATAAACACAACGGTCTCTGGTGCTGGGGAGGCACCTCAGAAAGCCATCGGACCCAAAGCTAGGCAGAGGAAATTGGGTCAGGTTCCATCCCAAAACTGCAGATCTTGGAAAGAAACTACTCACTCATAAACAGGAATTTGTTGACTCAGTCTTTTTTGTGTGTGATTTGATCATCTTTATCTCTTTTATCTTTCCTTTATCAAGTTTTCTGAGGCCTTGGGTGTTGTCTCCTTTCTTCTCTCTTTTAAATGGTGTCTTAGAAGCTCCTGGATCCGGCCACGGCGGACCTAGGTGGCTGCACAGTTGGTAAGAGCCCCCCTCCAGCGAGCCAGGGGGGGACCGGGTCCACAGCTCCCCTGAGCCTGCGGGTGGGGCTGAGAATCAGACACCCCACCCCACCCCACCCCATCCCGGCTAGCAACTGGGGACAGGGGGCCGGGCATCTCTTGGGAGCCAACATGGGGGATTTCCTTCCACCATTTGTTTGAAGGCAAATGTTTTCACTGTTTGGTTTCCTTATGATTAATTGTTTTGCTCTCTTCAATATTCTCTTTCGTTTGGTTTTATAACGTTCTGGTTTTGGTTTGATTTCGCTGTACCTAATTCAACAACTACTATGAAGATAACAAGATATACTATGGTACCTATCACTGTTATCCCGGTATCCTGCTGTGAAATTCGGTACCAATTTCACTGCAATGTCTCAATTGGCTTTGTTTTGTTTTATTCTGTTGTATTTTTACTACCTTCAAAATAAAATAAAAATTTTTTTAAAAATTTTTTTTGGTCTTTTTTGAGACAGGGTCTCCCTATGCAGTTCAGGCTGGCCTTGAGATCACTTTGTAGCCCAGGCTGGTCTCGAACTTGCAACAAACCTCCCACCTCAGCCTCCCGAGTGCTGGGATTACAGGTGTGAGCCACTACGCCCGGCTAATAAAATTTTTTTTAAAAATGATTTTTTCTATTCTCTTTTCAACATTTTAAACTTCCTTATGTTTTTCTTGTATTTTGCTATTTATTTTTTTTCTTGTTCACTTCCTTATATTAGTTACAGTAATTTTACTCCTCAATGGGACCCCCATCTCACATTTTTTGTCTTCTCAGATCTCATTAATTTATTTTTCAGATTTAGATTTTTTCATTCTCTGGTTTCTCCTGTAGTATAATTTTTTAGACAGAATTTTGCTATGCAGTTAAGGCTGGCCTTGAACTTAGTGATCCTCCTATGTCAGCCTCCCAAATCCTGGGATTACATGTGTGTGCCATCACGTCCGGCTTTTACTAGTATAAGTATTAAACTTTATGAATCTCTACATAGGTAGTTAACACTATTGCTGTTGGATACTGTAGTATTGTTAGTAAAGGGAAAGCTTTTCCATTTAGTATATATTTACTGTAAATCAGTATTTGGTTTGTCTTAGATTTCATACTATACTGATAGATTTCTTGTATAGCTAAGACTGGTACATTAATGATCATCAACGTTCATCAATATCAGTTTGTATTTGATGCTACAATTGATGCTGATTTTATTATTATATCCAATGTAACATAGTTATTACTATTAATTGGTTTTCTTGGGATGCCAATATTGGGGTTGCTTGGGGGTCATTAACAGTGCTGTGACCCATTCCTGGATGTTATGTCTTCTATCTAGAGGGCCCCCTAAAGCCACATGCACTCATAGGTTGGGGCTTGGGAGGGACTGGACTGTAGGTGCCTGACCCTGAATCATGGGTGTGTGACACTAGACAAGTCCGCTGATGGGTTTGTAGCCAGGTGTGATGTTGGGAGGTAAAGCCATGGGAAGAGGTGGGTCACTGTGGTTGTGGCCTGGACACATCCCTGTGGAATGGCATGGGTATACTCCCACTGAATAGATGACATAAATACAGGCAGATAGAGACATAGACATGAATATACACCCCCTCCTCCCTGCCACCCTGCTTCTTCCTGCCCGCCTTGCATGAGATGTTTCTCCTCGGCCAACCCAACTTGCTCTGGAGCCAGCCAACTATGGACTGAAACCCGCACAAATTATGAACCCAAATAAACTTCTCCACTCTTAACTTGTGTGTGCATCCCAGCAATGAGAAAGTAAAACACTAGAGAACTAGGTACTGAGCCAAGTATACTGCAACCTCCCATCCCAAGTAAATGAAGGTTGTTGGATCCTGGGACAGAGGCAGAGCCAGTAGTTAACCATACCCAGAGGGCACCACTGAAAAGCAGACATTAACTAAAGAGGTAGCCATATTAGATTTGAAGTTTTCCACAATAGCCAGCCTGCAAGCCTCAACACATAGGCAAGCAAGCAAACAAAAAAAAAAACATGAGAAGCCACGCCAACTAAATGCCTCCAAAATTCCCTATTTCTCCAAAGCATGGGACATCCAAGGGGGAAGCCAAAAGCAACACACCTGAATAATTCAAAATGATAGTAGGAGATTATAAAATACATTAATAAGGTATTTGGCAAGTTCACAAGATATAAGTAAGAAGCTGGTGAGCCAAATGAACAAAATGATCAGCAAGTCTATAGAACACAATAATGAAAAGCTAGCAGAGCTAAACAAAATCAAGCAAAGCATGAATAAGCAGCTTGGAAAGGAATTACAGTCTATAGAAAGGCTCCAAATATAAATTCAAGGGATTAAAATTTCTAGCAAAATTATGGGCAGCATACTACTCAACCCCCTCCAGGCAGAGGCCCTGTTCTGTATTCATGCCCACGTGCTATGTGACTGAGTTTCTCATTTGTCCCTGATTTAATCAATTTTACCTGAGCAATTATGCACAGGATCGTACTGGTTGACCATCGCTCTGTCCCACCTCTTGCCCACCTTGCAAGTTTCCATTTATGCACACCTTGGACCCCCTCACCTCATGGTTTTGCTCAATAAAAGTCCCTAAAAAAGAGAGTCTTCAGCAACCCATCTGGGACCCCTTCTGTCTCTCTCTGAGACAGAGGCTTTCCTTCTCCAGTAAATGTATTTTGCTCTTAAAAAAAATTACAGAGAGCAGAAATGACCAGTGTGAGGATAGAGTCAAAACTGGAAGACAGGGTTGTTGTCAGTGAGCAATTAGTGAAAGAAACCTAGAAACAACAAAAGAGCATGAACAATGGATTCAACAGCTCCCATATGCGGCAAAGACAAAGTTTGGGTTAATTGAAATTATTGAAAAATCAGAAGGACAGCATGAATGGCATAAAAAGCTATTTACTGAACTAGTAACAGAAAAAAGGGAAATAATTTAACATACGAATAAGTGTGACATAGAACCCAAACAGACAAGACTCTCCCACAACACATGATAGTCAAAATCCCAGAAGTCAGCACAGTAACAGCATTTTAAAAGCAGCTAGAGAAAAGCAATAAATCATTTAAAAAGTTACATCAGAACCCATTAGGTTTACAGGAGATTTCCCAATACAAACCTTAAAGGATAAGAGAGTTTGAAGTGTTTCAAACTCTAAAAAAACATAAACACAAAAAACAATTTCCAACCCCAAATTATATATCCTGCAAAACTATCTTTCCGAACCAGATGTGGTGATGCACAACTATAACCCAGCACTTGGGAGGCTAAGGCAGGAAAATACTTGCAAGTTTGAGATCAGCCTTAGCTACAAAGTGAGCTCAAGGCCAGCCTGAACTGCATAGCCAGACTCTTTTTCAAAAAGACAAAAAAAAAAAAAAAAAAAAATTAAATGCATCAAACCCACATATCTAGATACAGACCTCAGGGTCTAAAGAAACAATTGAAATCATACCATGCTTATTATCAGGC